TAACTCAGAAGTGGTATTTCTGCCACTGCTATCATGTGATGAATACACTCTAATTTATTAGACTATCAGTTGAATACACTGACTCATGATCAAAATTTGTTCCACCCGAATTAAATAGATGGTTTTGGCACATTTATTAAATAATGATTGAAAGTAATAATAAAAGCTTTCCCAGTAATACTCTTTCCAAAAAGGCTGTGAAATACTGAAGTTGAATGGTCTTAAGAACACACAAGGATGATGAAAATGCACAAAAACATGTATGTCTGGAAATTTAAATGGAGCACACGTGTTAGAACCAAGAGAAAAAAATTCACATACATTGTTACATACAGACACCTAGTAGTTCTGGATTAGGATATCTGTATCATTACAACAAAATGTGGTGGCATTTTGCTATTTTTATATTATCTAGCTACACTATGTGAATTAATGGATATCTTTGAGGGGGGGGGAAATGATGTTGTATTGCTTTTATTAGAGCAAGCTCTACCTCTAGGACAGGGTTCTTAGTTTGAATTAATATCCATTTGAGGTTTCTTGTGTTTTCAATAGGTTAATTTTCCTAGTCTTGTTCTCTCAAACTAGTTTAATAAACTAGTTAACAAACGTGTTATTTAATAAACGTGCCAATGTGTCAAAGTCATTTTTCAGAGATGAGTGAAGATGGAAATTAAGTCAGTGGTGTTACACCAGCAGTGAATTTGTCTCAAGGCAATAGTAAGGGTATATTTCCAGAAGTGGAACCTTAGCTGTGATGATTTTGCTCCTGTTAAATCTACCAGAAGAGTAGTTTGCTCTACGGTTTTGCTGTGAAGGCAGAATCTTTCTTAGGACAGCTGTCAGTTTGATCCTATGAAGGAAAAAGTTTCCTGAATTAAGTAATGGAGGCATGTACTAAGGTGCTAATGAGCCTTTGTCATGCAAAGGAAAAGATGTTAAATCTGCATTGTTGAAATGTTTAGTAAGCAAACCTTACCATCTTACAGTCAAAGACTTAGTGTACGGAAATAGACGAATCCTGCTCTCAATATAAAACAGTGATAAAAGTCTTATCTTAGAAAAATAACTCCAAAATGTATAGTGTCAGAAAAATGCTGTCCCAAAAACCTACAGGACAACCCCTTTCCTCTGACACTGCCCCCAAATTATAGCTATTTAGTGTCTGTCTTCCTTCCTTTATGAGTGAAATGGAACAAATAAATACGATTTTTTTTTTCCTTGTGAAGGTGGTGGTTATGTTTAATCATACTATGTAAATCTTCAAATCAGTTTTGGGTCTTATAATGTGTAATGTTGCTCAAATAAAAAATCAGTTTATTTGTAGATCAAAGCAGTTCTGTATGAACCCTAATGAAAAATAACAATGCTATTTATTTTTAGTATCATTCTCACACACATCCTCCTGTCTTCCCAGGACCCTCATCAGTTCTCACTTCCTCAGCCCAGGGAGACTTCTTGAGCTGCAAGTTGAATTTCCCAGCCTTCCTACTGGTAGTGCTAGATAAAACTTTGCTGACATTACAAGACTAGTTTCCATTATACGTTTCAGTCCACTTTCAGAAGAGGTTCTTAACGTTGAAAAAATTATTCTAAATGCAAACGCTCTGCAGATTGTAACAAACACTAATGCAAAAGTCGAGGATCACATGTGTTGTCAGCTGTGTTAGGCTGATGTAGCGGTAGCTGTACTTTCATTGGCGTTACTCAACGTTTACACCACTCTAAACTAGAGTAGGATTTCTTCTGTAGTTAATGCTAAAAAAACCATGACTCTCCTCTCCTTCATGCCTGTTGTAAAGCAGCAGGAAAATAACTGAGATAAAAGAAGTTAACTGATACCTGAATTTTTGTCTGTGAATATAACGCAGTAATTTATTAACTGTATAACTGTGTATAGTTTTAGAAAACGCATTTGGAATGCAAGTAAGTTACTGTGGAATGTTTTCGACAGTATAAAGAATAGTCCTTAACTTTTAACTTTCATGATTTAACTCTATATTAAAGCAAATTTACTGCTTTTTCAATATAAGTTCATATGTTTTGAATTAAATTAAAGTAATGACATGTTTTTTAAGGCTAAGGCAGGGGTTTTCTCATCCCAAATATATTTTCAAATAGCTAACAAAGTGTTCAGAGTACTAAAACCACAGAAAATATGTTAACAGTTACACTTGTTAATAAATTTTTAAGACCGTGGAAACAGTGGCCTAGATCAACTCTGTAGCCCAGCCACTCCCCTCTTCTTTCAGCTGGTGTACCACCTTTTTGTGATGAACCTCTGGAAGGACAGTTTGACCAGCCATGCCTGTCTATGCAGTCAGCTGCTTTACCTGCATGTGTGAGCAGCTCTGTTGGAGGTGGCAGTTCTGGCTTTCGCTGCACAGTGCTTGATTGCGTTTATTTTAGTTTTCCTACTGAGCTTCTCCTGATAGCTCCAAAGCCTTTATTTATTGTAAGAAGCATCTTGTGTGTCTAGGCATGTGTACTGGCATGAATACTATTGCCTGGAACACTAGGCCAGTTCCAGGAAAGAAATCTGCTTGGGGCAGCCGTCCAGATTTCCTTATACCCAGAGCTAAGGGACACAGCCTTTGGCTGCTAATGGAATGATCACTGTCATCTGGTTCCACCAGAGGACTGAGACAGTGAGATGCTCCATTGCACTTTAAGTGAGGTACGAAAGGAAAAAGGAACATTGGTCTGTTCTGGATGTGTGTACAGAGTAAAGCAGAGTATCTCACTGATCTGATTTATCTACTTGTACTTATTCCTGACTGGAGGCAGACGCTGCATTGGAAGAGTAAAAGTTACAGCAAATCATGGTTTATTTTACTTTTTTGATACGTAAGCTATATTTACTATATGCTACAGACTGAAGTAATCACCGTAAGTGATAAGCAGCTATTAATGTGTTCATGTTACAAAGAACAAACAGATGCAGATGTAAATAGCATTTCAGGCTGTTCTTGAATTGTGTTTCATATATGTCTAGGGGAAAAAAAGATTTTCAGTTTGCTCAAACAAACCATTTCTGAAAGAGAAAGTGGTGTTAACATCTGTACTACATCTGAGATTAGTAATATTAATGAAAAGCTAAGAACGCAGATGACCAATTAAATATTAAGTGCAAAGAAATAAAAATGTTTGAGGACAAGATTTGTATTTGTATTGCAGCGGTAAGATTCAAATCCTACTGCACACATTTTGTTGGTAACTTTAGGCTTTTATAATCAGGAAAGTTTTTACATGATATAGAGTAGTTTCTAAGATCTCACATTACCACAAAATCTATTTGATAACCTTTAAATTTAACATTTCAGTACAGAGATTTTATTTTTTATCTGTACTATGAATATTCTGTACCAAATGACTGGCTGTATTTTTAACAGCAGGCATGAATATTCTGTACCAAATGACTGGCTGTATTTCTACCACAGCAGGCAAAATTGTGAGAAATAAAAACAATTTAACATCTGATAGTTAAAAGATGTGATTTTCCTCCTACCTCTTCTTCGAAATATGGACACACACAACTGACTTTTTGAATTCAGAAATAAGATTTTTAATAAGTACTCATAAATACTAATTGATCAGAACTTTTTTAAGTTATCAAAAAATCTGATTAAATTATCATACTATGTACAATAATCATACCTGATTATTTCATTCATAAAATGTGATGTAGATTAGATTACTAATTATATTTATTTTTCCCAATTTTCCTGTCCTTTTCATCCTGCATGATACACTCTCACGGTGATTGCTGTATGCAAATTCCTAGCAGCTGCACTGAGAACGTGTTTCAGAGTTGTTTCGCTGACCTCAGCAACAACTTCATCAGGCCCTCGCCCCCTCTGATCTTGTCTTCTCACGGTGATTGCTGTATGCCAATTCCTAGCACAGCTGCACTGAACGTGTTTCAGAGTTGTTTCGCTGACCTCAGCAACAACTTCATCAGGCCCTCGCCCCCTCTGATCTTGTCTTCATCACGTTGAAGGACTGAGCTGCCATTCTACCGTAACAGTGACCCTCTAGAACTGGTGTGAGGCTTCTCGTATATCTGTGCCGGTGCTAACCCTGCCCTACATTTATATATATTTACATTTATACTATATATATTTATGTATAAATTCTCAGAAGCTGCTCTTGTGTTATTTTCACAAGCACTACATGACTTTCAGGTGTAATTTTGAAAAAAAATCTTTGTTCATTTAAACATGAAAAAATTTGTAATAACAGAATTCCTTTTTCATGTCTTCAGTTCAATGTGACCATTTTAAAAATTCATTGCGCCTATCATTTTAGGAAATTTGAAGTTCTGGGAGTTAGTGTTACATAAAATAATCTCTAAATATCATTCAGGAACAGATTTCAGAAAGGCTTCCTTTCTGGTCAGTACCATACAACTAAGGATGTGTGGAAGAGTGCAGTGTCGTCTCTGAGCACTGGATAAGCAATGAAGTCATAGAAACACGAACCTAGTTGAAGTACTGCATGTAGTATAGAATTAACCTTGTACAGTGAAACTGGTCCTTCAGAGAAGACTTTTTCACCAATAACAACAATGTCATTGGCTTTACATTCACTGTAGTGTTTTTAACAACTGATGCACATTTTATTTATAGTAACTTGAGTTATGAGTTGTGTGGTGGGAGATGAGGACTTGCCAAGTTCTCTAAGTTGTGGTATTCAGGTTATCTTTATACATATACTTGACCTTTACTATCGTCATTTCATTCTCCTAAGGACATGATGTAGCCCATATCCGAAGTCTCCAACTGATGTAATATGGAAATATTAACAGAGTCCCTAATGTGTGAAATGCTTGAACATGTAATCATATAAATGTGGCTTGCTCCAAAATAGTATCAGTAGCCAATTAGATTACATGCAATGATGCAAATGGTGCTAATAGTCTTGCGTGTTTTCCCTGTACTTCTCCGTCACCCTTTATTGCTGTATCTTCTGAATTCTCCCTTCATTTTCTTTCAACAAAGGCAAGTATGCCATGAGGGATCTGGTCCACCGACTGCCAGGCGCTAACAACAGCAACAGCTCAGCAAGCAAGGCCATGTCTGATGACACCGTTACTGCCATTTGCTGCACTCTGCATGAAGTCATCACTAAAAACATGGAGAATGCCAAGGCCTTACGAGACGCAGGCGGCATTGAGAAACTGGTTGGCATATCTAAGAGTAAAGGAGACAAGTATGTTTTGCAAATCACCTTGCACCTTTTTTAACATCTCCAGTAGTTATTACTAGTCCTGAATGTGTTTGCCTCCTCTGTGCAGTCGTGAGTTGAATACTTTAGTTTCATGAGAAATCATATGCCCAGTGTGAAAGGTGACAAGAAACAGACAATACCAATAGCAAAAGTCTCTGCTGTGGTTTATTTTTGACGTGCCATCAGCAGTGCACGGAGTGCACTGCACATGGAGTTTAAGGAAGAGTAATTGCCTACAGTAACCGCTACCTCTAAGCACTTCCAGAAGATCCTGAAAAACATTAGGGACCAGAGCTGTTGGATTGCACCCTGCGGAAGGGGTGACGTGCAGGTGGAGGGATCCTGTGAAAGGAAGGGACCTCACTGCAGTTCTGTTACTGCTCCTCTTGCTCTGGGAATGAAGAATGTAAAGTCACTGTCCCTCTTCACAGCACCCTTTTCTCTGCCACCGGCTTGCTGGTAAGGTGGGGCATAGTAGAAACATGGTCCATGGATTTTCCCAACACCTTGCTTCTGAGAGAGCATTAGGATACCTGCAGGCTACTTTGTGAGGCACCAAAACATGCAAAAATCTTACACGTGACTGTGACATTTTCAGGGCAGCTATGGTTTCATCTTGTCTGTTTTCCTATGTACGCACTCTTCATGAAGAGTTCACTCTTTATCCTTCTTTTGCCTAAAACAGATAGCCTGGTTCTCATATTTGTCAGCCTGCAGAAGTATAGTGCAATGGGACTATGGCAGTTTGAAAACAAAAAGCCTTCACTGTAGTGTACAAAACCCATCAGTCCACCTACTTGAAGCTCTCATCACACAGCCTACTGCAGCATCAGAGCTCTAAAAGAGCCCCACAAAGCCAGGCCACAACCTGAAGGAAAGTTTATGCACCCTACATTTGGTATGAGAACTTATGCTCGCCTATGTGATCGGAGCATTGCCAATATAATTCAATCACATTTCTTTTCCTCTATTGTCACCCTTTTCTTTTCATACCAAATTCATTATTGAAACATTCTCACATTTTAATTGTAAGGGGTAAAAAGTAGTAGCGTAACAAAGTATGTGATTCCAGTTGTGGGAGCTCCCCATGCTCTGCCGATTTATTTACATTTGCATTTTTATTATTATTAAACCTATTTACATTTTTTATTTATATCTTCTAGATCAAAGGTACTGATATTGCAAGCAGGTTCATATCCATTTCTCTTAAGTTGAACGTGTCTTTCCTCAGAATAATGCATTTGTCTACCTGCTCATTATCTGGTAGAGATTATAAGTACCTGTCGAGTCTGAAATTGTCAAAGTATCATGGGTAGTTTTAGGAGGATCGAAGGGTATAATTCCCTGTCTAAGTATCCCTCATAACTGTGAAAGACATATCTACATTGAATGAAAGTATTTAGCCCAGGTAGTGTTGAGTAATTCCAAAATGCCCTTCCAAATCATGATATGTATCCCTCCTCTCAAGTACTTTTAGTTGGGGTCCTGTGTTATTACTGTTACAGGTAACAGAGTCCTAGAACAAGAAAACCTGTCAACTCACAGTGCTACAGATGCTTATCTTAAATGAAAGTTTCATTTTTCAACTTTCAGAAATGTTTGCATTGTTCACCATTGCTTTGGTTTGGTTTCTTATAGGTAATCCATTGTTTAAAAATCAGAATTGCTGGTTGTTGGACTGATAGGAAATTCTGGCATGCTCAGTTTAATACAGTAAAACACTTCAGTATGAGTTTATCTTGTCCAGTATGAAGCGTCTGCTTCTACAAGCACAGGATACTAGCTGGCCATGCATCCTGGTGTGTATCAGTGCCAGGAGTTGTGGGGCTGGCCCCGCTAGCCTTTGGAACATGCCCAGGGCTTGAGTGCTTTCCCTGTATGACAGCATGAGAAAACTGGTGTTCATAAGGTCATATTGGCCAAGCCCATATTGGCTTCGCATAGTTCCTGTTTCTCCTCAGTACTCACAGTATGGTTGGCCCGGTTATGTTCCTGGTTACTCCATGCTACCAGCACCCCACTAGCCAGTACAGCTGGGAGTATAATAAAAACAATTATGCTTGAAAGTGTTTATCAAATTCCTGTTTATTCACCAATTACCCACCTACTGCTGTACTCTGGGTGAGAAATGGAAGAAAAGGGGAAAAAAAGCACCAAATAAATTACTAGGGAAGTACTGTATAAGTTAATTGAATCAGTTGTCACGAACATTGCTTTACCAGCTTGAGTGTCAGCCTACCAGTGGTCCCTCTCAGAGGTCACAGGATGCACCAGAGCCTGTCCCCTGAGAAGACTTCCAGCCCAAACCAGTAACATATGCTGCTGGTTTTCTGGTTTCTCTTTGGTTTTGCAATCCATGTGCCTTTTCTGAGTAAAACATGAATCACCTCAATACTGCCCCAAACTCCATCAATCCTCACTCCAGAGTTTGGCCTTTGCAAGGTTTTCTAGCACGCTACTGCTGTATGTGTGTTATTGGTACAGCACAAGGGCTTAACCACGCAGTGTATGCTTCCTCAATGGGCTGGGTTATCTTCCCAGACCTTTTCTATTTGACCCTTCTTCACTGAGCTGAATACTCTCTGATATTTTTTTTTTAGATTTTTTTTAAAGTTACCTATCCAAAGAGGAATATATGACTCCAACTGATTGTAACAATAATTTAGAGCTTCTTTCAAAACTTTTCTGAAGAAAAAGTCCATGTGAAGTTATATATGGTTTTCAACATGACATTACATTGCCGTCATTAAAGGGTAATGGTGTGAGCAAGATGCAAGTCCTAATTTGGATTCCTAATGAAATTTGTCATGACTTTTTATAGTCAGTTGTATTTCTGCATCTTGGCTGTGCACTTCAAAAACAGTGCTCATCACCCATCTAGAGTGTTTCTTTTGGCCACTGCTAAGAGGTGCTTAATGTGTTGAGCACGCTGTCATGAGTTGAAGTTTGGCAGCTTACAGAGAAAGAAACTCTGGCTCTAACTTCTTGTCCTTTATGCCAAAAGTTGTAGCCAGGACATCTTCTTAGATGTACATAATACCAGTAGGGTCCTCAACAATTTTGCCAATTGCTGCCTCTCCCATTCCTCTTACTATGCTCTCGGCATGAATCCTTGTTCTCAGTGTGCTGAGGAACACACATTTTGCTCCTCACTGAATAATTAGTACTATAGAAATAACACGTATTGCCCTTGCTTAAAAACACATTGGTCTCCAAGATGCCAACCGAAGATCTTATGGTACATTTAAAACACAATTTTAATTGTGGGTTTAAATCCATAGCAATGCATTTGAAAATAGAGATGAATGGAGTTTTGTACTTAACAGTCTCTTTCTCACTCTTTCTTTCTCTCTCTCTCCCTTTTTAATATATGTGTGTAACAGGCATTCGCCAAAAGTGGTGAAAGCAGCATCTCAGGTCCTCAATAGTATGTGGCAGTACAGAGACCTGAGAAGTCTCTACAAGAAGGTAAGGCTTGGGTTTTTTCTAGATTTGTCATCTTTCATATGGTTACCCAAATTTGGGGGCTGAGAGACTTTAGACCAAAACATTTATGTGAACTGCAAATTGACCTAGAGTTTAAAATTTCAGATACTTGGAGCTATGGGTTTTTCCCTCATTTCTACTTCTAACATAGAAATACCTTTTGAAAATACATGTGGTGGTGAAAAGGGGACGTGAATTTGATTTTCAAAAGAATTCATACAGAAAGTGCTGGATCTGACAGCCCTGGAGAATGAAGTCCTCTGTTCATAGAACAAACCTATGCAAGCTCTCCTACTGTACCTTTCCTTCTTACACCTCCCCACCCTGTCCTGAGGAGATTACCAGATTTCCAGCCCTTCAGCTCCCAAATTTCCTCATGAGATTGTGAACAAGAGTATCTGAAGGAGTGGTGCTTAGGGGCCAGTTACATGTGGAGCTGGGCTGAAACTTGATAGCTTCACTTCCAGTCGGCTAGCAGAAAATAGCATCATATGCTTCGTTTTCGGACAGTCTATGGAGTCTGTAGTACCATACCATTCCCACAGGCCTGCTAATCTTTTAAAAATGAATCACGATACGGTAATACAATCCTGTGAAATAACATCCTATATAGCTTTTAAAACGTAAGCGTCTACTTAGTAAATACAACATTTAAAGTAGTTCTTGCTGAATGTTTCCAAACTGAATTACACTCCATGTGAGTATCAGCCCGCAGATGTAGTTCTCAAAGGTCTTCTTGCTACATGGAACTTCACAGCTGATCTAATTGATATTTGTGTTTGTAATCTCAGCAAAGAGAGCTAAGGCTTCATGTGGCACGAAAGTTCAGGTCCTGGTTAAGTCTGAGGCATAAGAATGGTGAAGTAGGGAAGGTTCACAGCAGTGTAGTCTGTGCTGTATGTATTTTGTACAAGAAAAGAACTTAGTTACGTGAAGAGCATGCACCAAATCTTAAACTGGCAGAAGCTGACCTTCTGTTTGAAATGCTGTTCTTTTGCATGCCTCAGCCCTGCTCGTGTCAAGTCTGAGCAGTAAGGAAGATGATTATTGAGTCTCTCCCATTGTTCACTTCCAGTATTTTCAGTCATCCTTGGCAGCCCTAGGGATACCAAATGTGAAGATGTTCCAAGTAACGAGCTGATACTCAACTGTCCCATTAAGAGGTGGGAACAAACATGAGCTAGAGGAGGCTTTTCTTGACGCAAGGCAGTAACACACTGGAAGTGTGCATAGCCTGACTTCTGTGCATGTGGGTGGCTGCACTGTAGAGGCTGAACTTTATTGCACCATAATCTCTTAGAAGTTCTTACAATGTCTGGCTCATTTCCAACCTTCTGTCTGTACATATATGCTGTGATGGAAAAGCGGTTTCTAGGGTTGCTCCATGCATGAGGTAAGCTATATGCTGTATGGCTTCTGAGTATACTGCTACCTAAAGGACATTCTGTTGGCTGCCAATGTGAATGCCTGGTAATGTACTTACATACTAAGCATGTTTGGGTACTAAAGTACCTTGCATGCTTAAAAGAACATTTTCTGCGGCCACAAATACATACTTGTGGTATGGAAAATAGTGCAGGCTAGCCTTTGAGGTAGCTTCCAGGACACTCGTAGCAGACAGATTGTCTATATTCTCAGGAAGCATTTTATTAATCTCTATATTGGCTAATTCCTACCAGCCTCACAAAATCTTAAAATGAAGGTCAGTCTCTACTACATATTTATATATTCATTATATGCCATTACATATGCTTCTAAGCATTGTATAAATATGTTCAGATAGTTAATTTAAGATACTCCTGTTTGTTAAAAGACATAGAGTAATCTTTATAAAGTCCATAATATTTATTAAACTTGCCGATAGTAGGCTGACTTATGCTGGCTGTCCGAGTTTCACCACTGTTGGGAAAATAATGTTTTTATGATAGGAAAATTAGAAAAGTTTGCATTATATGAATAAACAGCTAGTTATGTAATATAAAGATACTGGGTCGATGTGATCTGCTAGTAAAAACGAGTGAACACACAGCTGACAGTGTAATATGATCAGCACTTTGCAGTATCTTGCACTTGCAGAGCTTTTTTTGAAGTGCAGGTAAATCCCATTGCACAACCATCAGCAATTTCTTCCTCTGTACTGAAGCAGCTATACAACTACTTTCAAAGAATTGGTGGCCTACAGAGAGGCACAATTTTGTATTGTAATACAAGGAAATTACAAGCATCACATCACATTTAAGAAGAAGTAGCAGCACTTACCTTACTGTTTGAGAAACAGTCTAACCAAATAGTTTGAATTGTGGTCTATTTTAGAGCTACATGTTTACAGTAGAGTAAGTAAGGAGAGATAAAAAGAATAGAAGTAGTATCCTTTGTATTAATGGGGAAAGAAGGCAATATATGTTTACTGCTGATACAGTAGTAGTCAGTATATTTAGTCCAAATATGACTGCATCAGCAAAAACATGAAAACCTCATTCGCTTTTCTATTTTTGCTCAACATTAAAGGAATCATCCCATAGTTGGCAGTATATAAACTGCACTGACAGAAAGTCCATCCAGAGTTGGGGATTGATGTGGTCACCTAATGACTTGCCACACCTGTGAAGGACCAAAAGCCAAGAAGTGCATAGGCACCAATTTCCCACTTGCAGCACTCCCCAGTGAACTCCTGGCTCTGAAGTGGAGAGAAGTGCAGGAGTCAGAAACTAGTCTCCCACCTGCTGCCATTAGCTGGGCTGCCCTAAGCAGGGTATACAATGCTTCCTGCAAGCTCCATCCCGTCATGGGTGAGCAAGCTCTTCAGCTTTAACCAAGGCTATAACGTTAATATGCCTATGTAGCGAAACCTAAATTAAGCAGCCTGTAAGGACACTGTCAAAATCAGCTTCTGCGTAAAAATAGCCCAAATTTAACAGATTTCAGGGTGCCAGCTTAGCTGTATTGCTTAAGAAGAATAGTAGTGTGCACAAATTTCCTTGTGCCACTCAGTGTCTGACAGATACTGCCTGTTTCTCTGGTCTATTCAAAGCCAAAAACTGCAGCAGCAACTGCAATGACTCAGTTACTTCATTGACCAAATCAAGCCATATACCCTGTCTCAAGGTTATAGTGTATCTGGCTAAGAATACAAACAGTATCTTTTGACAACACAAAAATTTAAGGTCCTATCCATCTTTTTCATCCTGAAAAATGCAAAATTATTCCACAAGTCAGTGAGGTAGAAAGCATAGAAAATTAAATCTGGTAAGCCAAGTTAAGCTAGAGATGTAAGTGTTTCTGGAAAAAGAGTTTCAGGCTAGCCCATGTGCTGTGTTTAAAAAGAAAAGCAGAGCAGATGGACAGAACAAACCCTGCAAGCAATGTAGCTCTGACAGTCCAGAGCTCAGAGTTCTGGTACCCAGGAACTTCTCTGCAGTGGGCTGATCCTGCTCCCAATGAAAGCAATGAGAAGGCCCTATTGATTTCATAGGTCTTTCTGTAAGGCCTCAAAAGCAAGAGCTGGAACTTTTGCAGCCAGTTGAACTTTACTGGGGAGACAGGCTAAGTAGTCTGCAGCATCTGATGTGTCCTGGGATTTCCAAGATCCTACAAAAAGTAAGGATTGAAGGTTTGTGTGTTGCTTTCGTTCAGTTTGCTGGAGCAGGAACATTGTGCCCATTTATTAATAGCTAATACAACAGGAGGTGCACTCTTTGAATGTTGGTCTCTCTTCTCAAATAGCTTTTTATTCTCTAGAAAGCATGCTAAGGTGGAGACTGTAGCTTTTCTGGCTCAGGAGAATGATGGATAGATTTCTAACTTCCTACAGCTTGAGCTGCAAACTCAAGGAAGAGGAGGAAACTTCCTACAGCTTGAGCTGCAAACTCAAGAGGAGGAGGCATTGGCTTTGTTGTCTCAGTTTCCACTTGGAAAGCTCTGTAAGTCACAATACCTTATGCACTGTGTTTGCAGAGCTATGTCACACCCTGTACCCTCCACTGACAGGTTCTATCCAGTGTACTAGGATTTCCAGTTCATAGCTGTGCTGTGGCTTTAATGGGGGACACAGTCTTGTTAGGCTGCGCTGGCTCGGGAAAGGCAGAGAAAGTGAACAGTCAGTGCTCAGATCTGAGAGTGAGGTGACTGTTTACCGTCCTTTGTAGGCTTGTGCTTTGGGGAAAAAGAGGATTTAATTCCCTGGCATGGTTAATTTGGCACTATCCTAACACAGTTAACAAGAAAGAGTTATTAAAAGCATAAATGTTTCCAGTCCTGAAATTATAGGGGGAAAAAAAAGCTTGACAGAGCAAGAGGAAGCAATGAATTTAGTCTTGAAGTGAAGGAGTTGCCAGTCATCCCAGAAGTTTAACTTGCAGGTACTTAATCATGGAAAATAGCGTTTAGTTTGCTGAACAATGGCTGAAACAGAAATCTAATCTGAAAACTTCCCACCAAGAGGAAAACAAGGTTCAGATTCAGCCCCATATAAACAGTGTTTGGATGATTTAAGGTGATTAATTTCTAAATACTGCTAAAGCTTAGCAAGTAAGAAAGAAGTGATCGTCACAGTTTTTCATCAGTAGATGAAATATTGTCTCCCAAAGAGTGTCTTTAATGTCATGACATTTTCAAACTTCTTTGTTCTCTACAAATAAGTCTTACATTTTCATAAATGATCATTTATCTGCCTCTGTTTTCATGAGTCCATTCCGAAATACTTGAAATCTGATTTTCAAAAGTGCTTAATGGTCACATGGTCCATAGCCCCGTGGGTGGGTCAGTGGCTCAGCACTTACGAAAAACTAGGTGGGGCAGCTATCCCACTTGTCCCTGTGCTTCAGACTCATGATACACCCCTCTTCTTCAGGTATCTTGGTAACCTGTACAGTCAGCAGGAGAATTAAGTGCTGCTTGCAGTCTCCAGAGAGAGGTCCTGTCCCATTTATGTTTAGCCACCTAAGCAAGGTGAAAGGAACTACTACGGTCATTCTTTAAAGACA